CTGGGTGCTAACTGATTCAGCCACGCTCTGGCCGAGCCCTCCAACATGAGAGGCAGGTGCTTCATGGCCACTTCATCATTGCCACCGCCAATCTGGACAGCCACTCGGTAGTCTTCAAGCCAAGTATCGGGCTTGGACTCACCAGTGAACTTACTGACTCCAGTCACCAACCTGAAGTTGGGAGGAATCACAGCGGCCCTGATGGCTCTACTAAAGCACTCTGGCCCTGAAACATGCACTCTGCTGCTGGTAGGTGCATCTCTGTCGTGACCTTCTCGGTGAGCTCTGTTCCTGTCGACCAAACCTTGAACGAGAATGGATCTCGCATCAAAGCCTGGTTCCCTGGGGTCAACTAGAATCCTTCGCCCAACACTATGAGGGCGCATGTCATCCTGCTGTCGAGGCACATACGATCCACTCCTCGGGGGAGGGGTGGGCACTCGATGTTAATCGTCACGATCGAATCGGTGATCATACTGCTCACGGTTTTCGTACTGATCACGTCGGTCCCCACATCCCTCACGCCTCGGGGGCGATCTTGGATTATGAGCCGACTGGACTGTGTCTGCAGCAATGGATCTGCTATGAATCCTGCTCCACGACTGAGAAACAGCGGAATTCTGGTCTCCTGCTGCCCGGAGTAACGCTCTGATCTGCAGCAAGCCTCTGCTAGCCTCTGATTGGGAAGGCTGGATCGACTCTGCTATACGGGCTGCAGCTGCTAAATTCTGAATCGGAGTTCGATATACCTGCGGGGGCGGAAAGTGGTGACGTCGACTGGATTCTGGAACCCGTTGTCGTGCACGCTCGTCGAGTGCTCGCTGGAGGTTCTCCAGTCGAGTGCGCTCAGCCAAGTTTGCCAGGTGCGCGTCCTCTAAGGCACGAGCCTCGGGGGTTTCTCCAATGATAGGAGTGTGCAGTGCATCCATGTTCCGGCGACGAAGTTCTTCTCTCTGCAGCGACGTGAGAGGCTCGGGGAGATATTCCTCATGGGGATGCGACGGGTCGCCTCCACCTGCGCCTCCGTCGGTGCGGGGAAAATCGGGAGGACTTCGCGGTCCATCGACCATCAGTACCTCCGCCGCCGGATCACTGCTGTCGCACTCGGATGCGGTTTCTGCGGAGCCAGTCGACAGGTCGAACAGGCCGTAGAGGGATTTGTCAGGCTCGATCACCGCGACTTGAGGGGTGGCCGACTGGCGTGCCACTACGTGTCTCACCCACCACTGAAGTCTCGACCGACCGGAGCGCTTGCGCCAGCGGGAAACAGGAAGGGAGGACAACACAGGGGCCGACCGATAATGGGTCGACGGTTGCCGCAAGAGGACGCCGCGAGCGCACGCGCGAAAGTGTGTTGCCCCGCGGACAGGGAGTGCGTCGACGTCGAGCGAAGCCTCCTGAAGCCAAGCGGAGTCGTCGACGATGAACGTGAGTGCGCCGAGACGGATCTCGCGTCCCTCCACCAAAACTCCGCCAGAAACCATGATGATTTGGATCGGAAAAGATCGCAACTCCTCCAACAAATCGCTAAGACACCGGCCCCACGGCGGGCGCCAACTGTCGTGGTTCTAAGTCTGACAGTAATGTAGGGGGGTAGGTATGGAGAGGCAAGATCTTAGCTATGGAGTAGTTGTAAGCACACGAGGTTTACGAGTTCAGACCCTTCTCGGAGGAAGTAATAGCCCTACGTCTCGGAGCCCGGAGGCGGTCGACTGAATTATGTGTGTATGAATTAGAGGGGTGTGAACCCTTTACATTGAGGAGGGGGGTGGCTTATATAGAGTTAGCCAGACCCCTCCGGCCCTCAGTTATGGAGGGTTTCAAATACATTAAGGTCGGGCGTTACTGGTAACACCCCTAATAAAGTGCTATGATGACCATAAAAGCTACTTAATGACCGACCGTTAGCGCGCGGAGTGACGTTAGGTCTCCTGGTCGTCGAGTGGTTGGATCTTGGTCGAGTGATTGCTTCTTGGTCGAGTGTCTTCGAGTCTGTCGAGTGGAACACCTCCAAGTCGATTGAAAAGTGATTTCTTCTAGAGATGTCCTTGGGTAGGGCAGTTAGGACAGGTCCATGACCCTACCCTAGGTACATAGCTTCATCAGTGGCTGCACTGATCATTCATGACGACATTTAACGGCAGCTTCCTCGGTACAGGGGGTCACTCCCTGGCCGTGCTCCCAACCTGAACCGCAGCAGGGAGAGAGGGCACGCCCTGCTCTATGCCGATTACTTTGCCAAAACCCCGCTCTTCAAGCCGGATAAATTCCGTCGCCGTTTTCGAATGGCAAGGCATGTGTTCAATCGTATCCGAGGGGGAGTGGTTGCTCATGACCCATACTTTGAGTGCAAGACGGATGCCCTTGGCAAGCTTGAATTCTCCTCTTACAAAAAATTCAATTGGGTTGTAAAACTATTTTAATTTTCAGACAAATATTTGGGTTGGAAACTAGTTTTGATGAAAATTTGGGCATTTTTTGCCTTGACGGACAGGATAGGGCAAAAGGATGCGTCCGCGCGCTGGGCGCGCGGCCACCGCATCCCAGGACACGCCCGGACACGACTCCAAATTGCTATCCAAACGGACAGAATCCGGACAAAACGGACGTCCCGTTTGGGTTCGCGCGGTGGAGTTGGCCTAAAACTCCAAATCAAGTCATCGGAAATTGTGTGCGTGCAATGTTAGCTCAAAGAAGCAGACTAGCAAGCAGCTTGACTGATTTCTGTATCAACAGCACACACAAGCAACATCATAAACTTAGCATACATGCACGTGGCCTGGGCTGGCTAAGCTTGCTCTCTAGCGAGGCTATCGACCTCATGGATCCGGTTCACGCTAGTACAGGCCAGTTTCACGTGTACGTGTGTTTATATGTGTGCATTAGGTATAAAAACGGCTCTGCTTTTGTCTGCCACCTTCCACGACCATGTAAATAACGGCTTCTTTGGTCATTTGAATAATTCTTGTCACAAATTGTATCAGGGGTAAAGTTGTATTTTCAGGTGCCATTTAACACCGTCAGTAGTTAAAATGGATGAAAGTGTCACAAAAGGAACAAAATTTAAACTTTGTGTTATATATGGAAGAAAAAAAAATTCGGTGTCGAATAGGGCAAGAAAATTTAAGACAATGTTAAATAAGAAATTCTCTCTTTACCTATCAACAATACCGCTTTTTTTGATCTGGTTTATTAGTCTTCTTAGTCAAATTTTCATCATCATTTGACTACCAACAGGAGAGTTATATGTAATAACAGAGAATATAATTAACCCAGGTCATATTTTAGCCCAGAATAAAAGAGATAAACCCGGTGGAGGAAGTACATAACATTAGATACATTGTGGGACATATCTTTACATTTGTATATACTCCTATTTTGGTATTACAGATATAAGTAGTTTTCTTTTTAAACTTGATCAAAGTTTTTAAATTCTAGATTTTTTTAAAATGTATATACACTACATTATAATGGAGTGAGTAAAATATATATGCTACTCAAACACCAAAAGGGCCTCATTTTGGATCTCAGGGCTCTCGAGTCTTAACACTGTTATATTTGCACTCCTCCCTTGACCCCAATTTGGTTTTCACTTTTGACCCTTTTACTGAGCTTGACCATGTTGGTCACAAACTCATAATGTGATCACCACGTTGATCTCACGTGCCATTCATACTTTTCTCCCATCTCCGTCCACTTCTCCCACTTTACCCCATATCACCGTTGACCACTTTCTTCCCATATTCACGCAGTTCACCAGACTAGCAGAAGACGAGAACTACAAAATTCGTACTGCCTCCGCTGAAGGATGAATGCGAATTCATCCAAGATGGAGTGGTGAATAGCAACGGCAAAAGTTCTTTGTTGAATTTCTTTTCCCAAGATTAGAGTATTCGTATTCCTTTGAATATCCGTTTCGGTCTAGACAAACTTCATGAACAATACATGGAGTACAGCGAGAAATGACGATTAGAAGTTTCTTCATCTTGACACATAGTAGTACCACTGTTCCGAAATACACGACTTGCCAGTCATGTTTTTCTATCTTCGACCACTAAGCAGTAGAAAAAATTATTGAAATTTGTACCTCTAGATTCATCATGGAAACGGGTTGCACAATACAATTTGATATGTAATATTTTTTGCGACATAGTTTGATATATTATTAACTTACATAGTCATGCTATAGTAAACAGTCAAAGGTGCTTATTAAAGACCTAAATAAAATCTAAAACGGGAAGTATACATTTTGTTCATGTGAGAGTGAATGGAATTTCTACTAGATTGAAGCTCCGTGGACAGATAGTCATAGCATCGCCACGGAGCGGAGCCTGTGGAGCGCCCTTCCAGGCACTCCCCAAATTAGAACTAGATCCTGCTCCACTCCGGCGTGGAGTTGGAAAATGAAGAGAGTCCAAATAGCCCTTACTAATATGATATAGTTTTCTTTGCTACAACATCTACGACACCAAATTAGTTTCACTATATATTTCATAACATATATTTTTTATACTTTATATATTTAATGTTGTAAATATTAATAATTTTCTATGAAGTTGGTCAAACTTAAAAAAGTTTTGACCCTTGGCAAACCTAGAACTTCCGCTATTTCAAACAGGAATACATTTGTGTTCTTGCAGATACTACTCAACTAGCAGCCAAACACGTAGGAAAGTCAAAAGATTGACCACAATAACAAACAAAAAACACACGGAGTGCACAGGACATTTGCTACTACTACCACACAACCAGAGAAAGCAGATAAAATCGTAGTAATACTTTTGGGCATGTCAACCTTTTCTACTCAATTGTCGACACTAAATACTTCTCTACACCAGTTTCCAAATTTCAATCCAACCCAAAATCCCCAACATCATATATGAGACATTGCACAAGAACGAAAGAAAGAAAGAAGAAAATCAGATCAGGCAAAAGTTCTAACCTAGTCTTGGATTCGAGTTTGTTCTATCACTATGGAGGCATAACGCTGCCGTGCCGTGCTACTCTTCGGAGCTGGAGTCCGTCAGGGCCTCGCCGTCGTAGTCGTCCTCCAGGCCCTGGGTCTGGCCGTCGGCGCCCTCGCTCCGGCCGTCGGCTTGTTGCTGGTCCTGTGGCTCCCCGCCGGCGGCGACGAACTGCATCGGGCTGTAGCACGGCTGCTGCTGGTAGTTGGCGACGTTGATGGCCTGTGCGCCGGGGAAGTTGTTGAACTCTGCAGGGTTGGGCGGGAACGGCCAGTATTGCATCGGCTGGTTGGGCGCGCCTCCGGCGGCGGGCGGCTGCTGAAGCATCCACATGCCTGCAGGGGAAACCATCTGCTTGCCGTCGCCGGATGCCGGCACCCGTATGGTGAAGAACGGGATGCCGCCTCCCGCGGGCGCCGCCGCGGCCGAGACGGGGGCGAGGCCGCTGGACACCGAAATCGCGCCGTTGCCTTGCAGGAGGGGGTCGGCGGCCACCGGGTAGTAGGCCGCGGGGGGCGCCGCGACGAGCGGCCCCGCGCCGCCCGCCGCGCGCGTCGGCTGGAGCTTGCGCCGCTTGGACGCCGGCCCCGCGCCGTCGGCCCCCGCGGCGGAGGCCGACTCGGTGGGGATGCGGAGCACGCCGTCGACGGTGGTGGCGATCGCGGGCACCGTCCCCGTGCCCGTGGCGGCGACGATGGCAGGCTCCGACTGCTGCAGGAGCCAGCGGATGGTGTCGCCGTCCGTCTTGTGGCCGAGCTCGCGCGTGAGCTGCGCGACCCTGGCCGCGCAGGGCGCCGCCATGCGGATGCGCCGCCCGCGGCCCTCCACCTTGGTGTGCCGGTCGCGGTTCCGCGGCGGGAGCGCGACGGCGAGGCCGCCCAGGAACTCCCCCGGCGCCTGCTCCGGCTTCGGCACGATGGGCCCGTGCGCGGCCGCCGGGACCACCGCTATGGCCAGCGGCGCATTGCTGGCCGGCACCGGCGCCGCCGACGGGGCGTCGTGGTAGCGCGCGTCCGTGGCCTGCTCGCCATTGCCCTGCAGCTGCGACTCCATGGAAGATCGGATTTGGGGGGTTTTGCTTCGCTTGGGCTCCCTCTTCTGTTACGGCTTGGCGGCGGCGGCGGGCGGCGTCTCGGCGTGTTCTTTGGCAGGAGAGGTTGGTTATCGCTGGGCGGTGGGTCCGCGGATAGGGTTTTAGGGGCCACCGCTCGCTCCGCCGGGCAATGGGCCCTGCTGGTGGGGACTGCACAATTCGGCCCATCAAAAATAAAGATGATATTAAGCATGTTCTATTTCAGTGCGCGGAAGCAAAGGAAATTTGGCTCAAACTCGGCTTGATAGAAGTGGTCGAAGAAGCTTGTGAGGTTGATGGTCCGGTTGTGTTGTTCTGATTTTTTCTTTGTTAGCAGAGAGGTTTATAAGAATCCAATCCAATTGATGCATCTGTGAAGTACATAAGAGAAACAGTTTCGACGTCGGCCTCATACATTTGGTGGAGAAGAAGACAGACGGGCCATGCAGAAAGCTTGCCGTCCTTGTCGCATGCAACACTGTCAATTCAAGTTTTGGTGTCAAGTTTTGTTAAAGCATCAGGTAATGTGTCCCAACCAAAGTCGAGTATCTGGAATCGAGCGACTGATGGATTTATCTCTGTAAATGTTGCTGCAAAGTATGATATTGACATGGGTTCTAGAGCTATCGGCGTGGAGATTAGAGATGATAAGGGAAGATGCGGCAACTGCTGAAGCACAAGCAGTTTATGACGGAATTCATCTTACACGACCCAACTTGG